GAAACGAGTGAGTTGGATGATTATTTGTCAGAAAAATTGTTACCGCAGGATGAAGGGTTTGATATATTAATGTGGTGGAAGTGCAACGGTGTCAAGTTTCCTATCATGCAGCGGATTGCGAGGGATGTGTTGGCCATTCCTATTTCAACAGTAGCTTCAGAATCGGCTTTTAGCATGAGTGGAAACAAGGTAACGAAACAACGAAGTCGACTAAAATCACAAACAATTGGGGCTTTGATGTGCAGCCAAAGTTGGCTAAGGAAAGAAATTGAAGGTAATAATTATATAAATTGTTTGTTGTAATAATTATGTAAATTGCAATTTGTATATATAATTTTTCTGACTTGCATTATTTTATTTCAGATAAAAAACACGAAGAACCAAAAGGATTTGATCAAACGATTGGATACGATGAAGATGTTCATTGTTGAGGGACTGGAATTATGTGTTGCTTGGAAAAAACTTGTTTTAAATTTTACATCTCATTGGATTATTGTTAATTTTACAATTTTATTATTTTTATTAGGCAAGACTAGGTATGATGTAATGATATTGTCATGTTGATGTTGCTTGGAAAAAAACTTATTAATTTTAATTTTACCGGCTGTTGACCGAGGTTTGACCGAAAGTTGACCGGGGCCGAAAAGAAAATCCCCGTACCCGCCGGTTACCGGGGCCGGGGCCAGGGACTGTGTATATAAACCGGGGCCGGGGCCGGGGATTGCAAACCCCACCCCATCCCCGCCCCGTTGCCATCCCTACATGAGATCTCAAATCAGATTAAGTAAGTGTATCATCCTCAAACCGATTAGCAGAGTGAAAGAACAATCCAGACCCTTGAAGATATGCTAAGAGCTTGTATTATTGACTTTGTGGGATCTTGGAAAAATCATATGCCTCTGATTGAATTTTCTTACGATAACAATTATCATATCAGCATCCAAGCGGCACTTTATGTGATTTTATATGGCCGAAAGTGCAGAAAGTCGTTGTGTTGGAATGAAGTGGGGGAGAGGCAGTTAACTGGTCCAGAGATTGTTCAGATCACTTCTGAAAAGATAGATCAGATACGTGAACGAATCAAAATAGCTCAGGACCGACAGAAAAGTTTCGGTAATAAGCGTCGTAAACCGATTGAATTTCTGGTAGGAGATTTCGTGATGTTAAAGGTTTTTCCATAGAAGGGTGTTGTCCGATTTGGAAAAAGAGGTAAACTCAATTTCAGGTATGTTAGGTCATTCAGAATTTATAAACAGGTTGGTTCAGTTGCATATCAGTTAGAATTACCAGAAGAACTCATCTCAATTCATAACACTTTCCTTGTTTCTAACTTGCAAAAGTGTTTGACCGATACAAGTCTGGCAGTACCGCTAGCTGAGGTGAGAGTGGATGATAAGTTGAATTTTGTGGAAACTCCTGAGGAATAAAAAGATCAGTCTCGTGAAAGTTCAGTGGCTTTTTCATAAAGGTTCAAAAGCTACTTAGGAACTGTAATCAGAAATGAGAACAGAATATTTGTGGCTATTCGATTGACTGAATTCCAGGTCGGAATTCTTTTGAGGAGTGAATAATGTGATAACCGGGTTTTTGGTTTATAAAAGTACAGGATGATTTTTGAAAGATATTGGTAATTAGAGGGATTTAAATTGTCTATATGCTTAAATATTTTAAAATAATCTCACCGTCTAAAGGTTTTTACGCATGAGATATTTGATTTATCTCATGAGAGAATGTGAAATTATGATTTTAAAAATATTAAACTTACAGCGCTTGTGAAATAAATGGTGATTAAAGTAATAGATAAGATTTATCTTCTCTCAATGTTTTGGGAGAGAAAAGAAAGTATCTTCACTTTGTGTTCTCTTGTGTGAAATCCTACGTGAATTTGTAAGAAGAATAAGTTGATTCTGTGTTTCTATTTGAAAGTTGTTGCTGTGTGAATTCATCTTCGTATACATGAAATAAGGTGAGTTTATATTATCAACTTTCTTTATTTGATATTTGAAATATTGAACTGTATGGTTCTTATATGGAAAAGTGATAGAACTGTTTATGGGAGCTGTTTGAGCTTGATGGTGAAACTGGTATAGATCTGTAAAGTTCTTCATATGAGTTTCAATTATGAAACTGTTTTGATGTCATTATTGAGAAAAATGGTGGATTTTGTTATGATTATATCTTATGTGGAAAAAAGGATGACATATCAAAGAAATATGTATATTGGGATAAAGATGACATATCAAGGAAAGGTGTATATTGGGATAAGGGTTGCATATCAAGGAGAAGAGTATATTGGGATAAGGATGGCAATTGTGAAATCTATGTTTTGATCATATGTTTCGTTATCACATCCTTGTGATGCGACGACCTTGAGTTATCGCATCTGTGTGATATGAGGACTTAATTTGTCATTTCAATTGATGAGAAAAAGACGTTATTATGATGAGAAGGAAATTATTTATGACCAGAGAGGCTTTGAGTGGTTGTGCTTTTGAATTAACCATGTTTCTGGGTTGATCTAGTTCTGGATGGCTTTACTTTAAGTTATTTTGATAAAATGAGTGGTTGATGAGGAACCAGAGAGGCTCTGGTTGTATTTGGGTTCTAAAATGATTTTCAAATGTTTTAACTTATCTTGACCCAAAGGCTCTGCATGTGCTATGTAGAGGCTCTCTGTTTGAAACTTGAGCTCTGTGTCCAAGCTCTATGTCTGAGCTATGTATACAAGTTATGTTTGAACAATGTATCTTGGCTCTTAGTTCCAGGCCATTTTATAACTAAATCATTTTGAACTAAATCTTTTTCAAACTTCGTTTTTATATTGGCACTTAAAGACTAGAGCATAGTTTAACCAGAGGGGCTCTGGTCGTCCAAAGGGCATCTAGTTGGCTTGACCTCTTGGTGGTTTACTGGTATTTGTTTTATAAGTCCTTGGAAAAATATTCAAACCTTTGGTAGAGAACCAGAGAGACTCTGGTTGATCTTCATGTTTAATCAAAGGGCCTCTGGTTGTATTTAAAAAACTATTTTTCTTTCAAGGATAATTCATTGTTTTTAGTTTCCAAAAGCTCTGGTTATGCAAACTAAACGCTCTGGTCGTCCAGGGGGGCCTCTGGTCGTCCAGGGGGGCCTCTGGTCGGTCGTGCCTTGTGTTTATTTTGTTTCAAGTGGCCCATGCTTAAGTGGCTCTGTCTTGAAGTTCTCGTTGATGGACCAAAGGGGCTCTCTGGTCGTCCAGAGGGCCTCTGGTTGGTGATGCGTTTTGGTTGGCCTCAACTTTTTACAAGTCTTGCTTCTAGTTAACCTCAATTGGCATTATTTTAAATTTGGCTTTGCTCTGGTTGGTGGACCAAAGGGGCTCTGGGTGGTCTCGCTCAGTGTGATGCAAGGAGTTGAGAATCCTGCACCAATGTGATGCGAGGACGGGGGTGGCCTTGCTCTGAGTGATGTGAGGAAAATTTTATAAATCCCTATATGATGCAACAAATTTTGCTACGAGATAATTTTCAAGATATCGGGTATTTGAATACGATACTTGAGTTATGTTATGTCGAAAGGTTATATGTATTTGTTATAATCTATACTACTTTATAAAGCAAATTTGCCTAAAGTCTTAAAAACACCATAATATGCATAAGATACTACCCTTTAATGTAGAAAGTCTTAAAGTCTTAAAAATGTACAACTTACTGATGCATCGTGTACAACTTAATACTACTTCATCCTAAAAAAAATCGTGTCGATTCATCCTCCCAATGTGTCTCTTCATCCTCCCACATCATACTTCCCAATGTGCCTCTTCATCCTCCCAAAAATCAAACTTTCAATGTGATTTAGTCGCTTTCCAAGATGTCGATTGGAGCTTTGGTTATTTCGATTTCATTCCTGAATCGAACCTAATGAACCAAATCGACATCTGGTTTTGTTTTCTTCTTTCATTCTCCATCCCTTCTCCTCACCATCGATCTCCCCACTTTCAAGATCCTCCTCTTCATCTTCATCATCTGATTTAGGGCAAGAAATTCCACACACGGGTGAAACCATCGCCTTCTTATGCTCAATTCAGGGCTCGATTCAATAAGGGCAGCCATGGCTGTATTTCCCGGAGGTATTCATCAAAACTTATGCTTTCAAATAATCTGTGTGTATACATACAGATATATGATAGTGTTTTGAACTTCAAAATTTCAAACATGAGCAGGGAAAATTAAAAGAATCCTACACACTTCCTTTTATAAAATTTCAAAAGGAAATATCATAAATTCCAAGTAAAAACGTTAGAATTTCAACTCATTTTTTGTAAACCTTATGAACCCTAATTTTTTATTTTGTTATACTATCAACTTGACTCTATTTCAGCCCTAATATGATTTCCTCATATGAAAGAAGGTAAGTAGTTGAAATTTCATTGAAAACCTATCTTTTTTGGTCTTTTCTGATTTATAGTATGTTGAACTTTGTAGGTTTTTTATGGGTTTTGAGTGTTCATGATAAAACTTGAGTTTGTTGTAGTTCATCTTAAASCTCATTCTTTTTAAAWCCTATTGATGGTTGCAGAACCAGGTAGGAGATGCTCCTGAGGAGTCTTCCTGCTGCCAGGTYAAGGCTAAATGGTAACGAATCTCACACTTGAAATCATGCAATCATCTTGGTCAATGCTCATGTTTAGGAAACACCAACCTTTGAATATGAGTATAGGAAGAATATTGCTAACCTTATGTTTACAACACCAACAGTGGTTTTTTTACAGCACAGCAGTAACTTTGGTAACTTCAGAGGACCCTTTTGAATAACAAGCATTTTTTTCATGCCCAAGTTTATGTATACGACAAGTGCGGTTTATAATTGTATGGATTATAGTTTATATATATTCTTTCTCTTTGTTGTTTGTTCTATCTAAACCAATTACACTTTTAGAAAACTTCTTAGCTAGATTTCACACTTTTAGAATTGATTATAGTTTTTATAGATATTCTTATTAACCTTCTATCCGAACTGTGATGAGCAARTRTCCCAATAAGCACAATCGTTTGTACATGGAAGCTAGGMCAATGGAGGAAGGACTTGCAGAGGCTATTGATGAGGGGAGAATTGGGCCTCGGGATGATTCCAAGGTACATGGTAAGATCTTGGTTGAGGAGTTTTGTTCTCATCTGGATTTGTTTTCTTGTTTTCTCGATTTGACATCTTGGTCTATTTTTGCTCATATGGATTTGTTTTCTTGTTTTTCTTCATCTAGGTTGATAGTAGTGGTTTTTTTGGGTGGGGGGTATTTACTCTACATATCTCATATATAAATGTGTAGAAAAGGAATCAGGATTTACCTTAATTATAAACCAACAGAGAAAGGGATGATTAGACAGGCTCTTTCATGTGCTCTCGTGTGCATCCCATCTTGTAAGCTATCCATTATAAAATATGATCTTTTCCTTGAGTAGTTTAATGGTTATTTGGCTAGCTGTTGATGATGCTTATGGTACGGCTTTCAATTTTATTTTCCTTTCTGGAGGTATATCTGAGGTCGTTGCCATGGTTATCGGAAAACATATCTAGGCTGTGATGATATTATTTTGCATCTAACCTTTCCGAGAATAGGTTTCTAGGCACTGGGTGAAAATCGGCACGTATCTTGGATTGAATCATCAAAATAACCTCGTTTTATCATGCAGAACCATACAGGAAGGGAAAACCCAAATTGGAAACAAGTATTCTTTGCCACCACAACCAGGCGCGACGTTGGTGGCGACGGTGGTGGTGGAGGAGTACTAGCCACTACTCTTCTTGATCATCAATCCATTAACCACACCTTATTCAACAATTTTCCAAGTATAGATATATGTAAATGTTCTTCTGTTTATCCAACTTTTATACGAAAATCTGAACATGGTTTTATCAATTTATGTTGGAATAATTGGATTTTTTTGTTGTTACAGCTGGGAATTGTAGTACGAATCAAAGGAAAAGGGGAATAGAATATGTGATGAATCAATTCATGTCGAACCACCATCAACAACACTCTATTTCTTCTCAATCCTCTGGTTTTGCATCTTTGTTATCAGAATACTTATCCAACCTAATCCATCAACAAAGAGATGAAATTGAGCATTATCTTCAAGTGCAGGTAAGAATTCATTAAACAAATTGAAAATATGGATTTGTTTTTGGCAATTTGATAGCTGAAAATGGGTTTCTTGCAGGAAGAAGAGCTTAGGCGTAAATTAGCAGAAAAGAGGCAACAACACTATTTTGTGCTGATCCGGGCGGCGAAGGAGTCGGCGTCACAAATGATAAAGGGACAAGGAGGTGAAGGCGTTTTGCAAGCCGATCTGGAGGCTCGGGCATTGCAGCTTAGCACGGAGGCTCAAGTTTGGCAGGCAAAGGCGAGGGTGCAGGAGGCAGTTGCGGCAGCGCTACAAGCGCAGCTACAGCGAGCCATCATTACCATTTTAAACGCTATGTATAACGATTCTCAGAAATTTCAAGTTTTAACCGATAATGCTTTTTGAAAGCTCGATGATTGTTGACTGCTTGTTCTTGTGGGATGATTTGTTTTTAAACTTTTAGGTGTTATTTTATTTTTTAATGGATTAAACATCAAAGAACAYATTTGTGGAGTCATTTAACTAAGTAGTGTATGTTATACCAAAATGARTTGTGAAAGGAGTGTTAATATGTTGAGTTATCGAGTAAGACTCTCCATCTTTATCGTCGCTTTTGTCGACTTTAATTATGGTACTTGTCATGTTAATTTAGTAGGTAAATGGATCAGTAATCGTTTACCARGTAAACGTTTAATAAACGACCCTTTAATTGGAGTTGATCTAATTAAATTGTTTATTGTATATCAGTTGTTTATCCAACTAAAATTGCACAGTCGATCAATATTATATGATTACATTGGTTTGCTTTCATCCAACTATCCAAGAATATTTGAACAATATACGTAATCCAAAACATTTTAACCATATACGTAATCCAAGATGAAAAATTCAAATTAAWWTTTTTTTATWCTTTAWTAGATATTTATATTAGGTTGGATTGGTTTAAATATATTGGATTTTAAACTGTCATACAAATTTTTTTCATTGGTAGAGTGTAATTTGAACCATAACTCTTATTTATTCAAATTGTATTACTATGTAAAGACCAAGCGTAAGTTATATCATCGTTAAAAAATCTCCTCTAACAAAACCACTAAAGCTTCAAAATCGTTAAAATTCACGGCTCCCGCCGCATTACGCGGGTACACAACTAGTTACAAATATGATGTTATAAAATGTTTTGGTGATTTTCACCATGTAATTGCATAAAAAGCGATTTCTTACTAGACCTTAATGTCTAACCCCTATTTTGTATTTCAAAAATATGCATTACAGGTCGGGCACTAGCAAGGGATAAAGGAAAAGAACAAATGTGAAATTCCTTACATGCTTACTTGGAATATGGAGAAGAGTTTGTTATCTACTAATCTTGAATACTTGTTATATATGCAAGTGATGTACAAGAATGACGTAGAAAATTTTGTTAGCTACTTTATAATGTAGCTTCGTGTACTTTTTGGGACCGAAACGTGTAATATTGTATTTCTTATTATATGAAATACATGGTTATATGAAAATGTGAATCTTGGGGTATTACATTTTACTCGGTATATGAGCAAGAAGACTCTTACTGGTTAACGCTTAACTAGATAAGAGACGCTTACCAACAATTTAGTTTGGTGGCCTAGAATTTACCCTATGAGGTAAGTAGAGGGTAGTAAACGGCCCCTTAATTGTGACAGATAGATGGTTAACCTCTGTTAAATGTTGGTTGATATTAACAATATGCAGGTCAAGGTGTTATAGACGAACACCAAGACTCGACACAACCGAGACACTACTGAACCAAATCAAGAAACACAAACCCGAAGGCTAACCACCTGCTGAACACTTTGACACTATCTTGACTCACATAAACCAAAACTCTCGGCTCACGAATCTATCACCAACAGATCCAGGTCATATAACAAAACCCAGCTATCCTTTTCATGACTTCTTAAACCATAAATTACTGAGTACTGACAGCTTAATCAACAACTAAGCGATGGTTATGGATCGTAAATCGTTTCAAAAAAATATCTCATTCATGTTGAACCAAAGGGGGATCATAAAAATATTATTATCAAAATGCAAAGAGATCTGCATTCTACGCTCCAACTAAGACCCTTCATTATGATACATAAATTATACCATAATATGGCATATATATCTATAAACATCTAACACAACCAACAAGAATGAGGAGCATACCTATGCTCACGACTTGCAAAATGCACGCAGGGTTTCATCCAGGGCCTTTCTGTCATAATCTCCGGTGAAAACACAGTTTCCTAACGGACCTTTTAGGAGGATGAGCCTTAGTAATCCATCGGCCACCTTTTTATCCACCTGCAACCACAAAAAGAACACAATAAGTAATAAGAAACAAGAAAGTCTCTGCGTACATCTTATGGGTCGGTTTGGTTTGGTTTGGTTTTTAATACCATTTTGGTTGATGACTTACCGCCATGACAGACTTGAACATATCGATGGTCATCATCTCAGGAGGAGAAGTGGGCAGCTTAGCTTGTTTTAAGATGTCATCAACTCGTTCCACAATGGATTTATCAATCCAACCAAGCCGGTAAGACATGTCAACTGCCATTACCTGAAATACATCCCGATTTAAGCTATCTTACAAAAAAACTGAACAGCCATTACAACAATGTATAAGGCACCCACTTAGGCCCAAGCCCATCAGATATGTATTAGGCATTCTAGAAAGGAATAGAAGACTTGGGAATTAGTCTGTTAGCTAGCAGGGGGTATTTTGGGTAATATCTAGAATAAGTTGGTTGCTAATTAGTATAAAAAGGGGAGGAAGGGTGTAGAAGAGTTGTGCCAAAGTTAGTGGGTTCTTTTAGGAGAGTCTAGCACTCTCGAATTCCTAGAGGTTCCCATTTTTGTCCTCTGTTTTTCTGTTCATTTATTTTGATTGAATACAATTTGGCCAAGCATTTCCTTTCTATTATCATGTTAGCTTCACCCTGTTAAGCCAGTTCATAACAAACAAAATCAGTTAAAATATGGTACTCCGGGCTACCTGCAAAGCAGGTGGTCGCCATGGGATTAGTGGCTCGCATAGCAGATTGGACATCTAGGTTAATCAAAAAAGAGAAAAAAAAAAAAAAAGTTTACAGGACCAAACAACTATGTGTCCTATGTAAAGTGTTACGATAAGTTGATAATTAACTTTTTGGCATCCAAACACGTTTTTAGGACACTATTGAAATAAATCGTCCTATTAGAATTTTACATGACATTATTTTAGAGGTGACTTTTAAAAGACAAGTGCCCTATAAAAAGAGGTGTTCATAAGACATTTCTCGAAAATATCTTATAAAAAAGCTAATAGGACATTTTAGTTCAAAAGTGTCACAAAGAACTTGTTGCCCAAAAACCAACTTTTCTCAACGCATTAACATAGGACGCAAGATTCTCTTTTGTGCTATAAACTTGAAGTCCTATAAAGTTGTCTATTAAGACATTTAGATATATTTTGCGTCCTATAAAGCCAATTCTGTTGTATTGAAAGCATCAACAGCATGCTAGAGTTAAAAATGCAATACCGTGCCAGCTGCAACTGCTTCTCCGTGAAGCCAATGTCCATAGCCATAGCTAGTTTCTATTGCCTGTGACAAGAAAGTGCAATCAGAAAAAGCAAGAAAAATGGGTATTTGTGCAAAGATAACATAATTCAATAACCCAAAACTCACATGACCAAATGTATGGCCCAAATTTAATGTCGCCCTTAATCCACTTTCCTTCTCATCTTGAGATACAACTTCAGCCTTGTTTTCACACGACCGCTTGATAGCATATGCAAAAGCATCAGGATCCCTGCAAAGCAGCATGACATAGACTAGGCTGTGATTATATAATAAAACCATCTGGTGTAAACAAAAAATAAGCCAGTTCACAAATGTCATTATACTTGAGCAAGACTTCAAAGAGAATATCCATGATTCATACAAGACTTTGCATTCAAAAAGATTAGAACTGTTAATTTTTATTTTAGAAAACCATGTTGATAAAGTGAAACCCTTTTACCTAGACATCAGTGCCTGCATGTTCTTTTCTTGCCACTCGAAAAATGGGGCGTCTCTAATAAGCCCATACTTAATGACCTCAGCGAGCCCTGATGCTAATTCTCTATCAGGTAATGTGTTTAATGTGTCGGTGTCTATGAGCACACATTGTGGTTGGTAGAATGCACCAATCAAGTTTTTCCCCAATCGGTGGTTTATTCCAGTTTTGCCCCCAACAGAAGAATCCACCTGGAAGACAAACAAGAGTAAAGGAGGGCATTGAGAGCAAATGGAACTCTAATCAGTAACTGCCAGAGTAAGTTATCAGAATCACCAAAATCATTAATTGTCTGTGGCGTTACCTGTGCCATAACAGTTGTAGGAATCTGAATGAAATTGACTCCACGAAGGAAAGAAGCTGCCGCATATCCACACATGTCACCAATAACACCACCACCAAGGGCAACAAATGTACAGCGTCTGTCCAGCCGAGACTCGATGGCTTTGTCAAATACTTTCATGAGGGTGTCCTATCATGAAATAAATAAAAGTGGGTCATTTATCTTTTGATAGTAAACCACCATATATGCAAATATGGAATGTATGTAAATGAAGCCTACCATGTCCTTGTACTTCTCGCCATCAGGGAGAATCACACTTTCAACTGTAACATTAGGATTTCCAACCGTCAAAGCACTTACAACTTTATCCAAGTATAGGGGCGCAACTGTTGTGTTAGTGACAACGAGAACTTTCTTCCCATGAACATGCCTAGAGGATAAGAAAAAACTTGTGATGATTCAGGGCTAGACGGTTTGTAGTGCACAGGTGGAGAAATTTGAGGAGGATAGAAATCAAAATGCATTCCCTGACTCGCAGGAGTCAGAATGGACAGTTCGAGGTAGCAGAGTACATACTATTATAGACATGCATACATTTCTATATCAATTCCTTCCATATTCTGAATATGATATCTCATGTACCAGATTCATAAGATAATCAAAATTAAATATTCGGGTCAGTATAGTAAGCACAAGTGAAGAGGGGGTGTAAGTTTATTTGTTGCATTGCCATATGTGTGTATATATATATTATATACTTCAAAAAGAAGTATGAACCCTACATAACTAGAACCAACTACAAAAACTAGCATATCACTGGATAGTCACAGACGCCATTGGGCAGTGGATAAGTATGGACACTATGGATAACATGTGCTCACTTGCTCAGATACGTGGACTCCAAATAGGACTAGTTGTTAAAAGCATGCCTAGGTGTGATATTGAGGTAATTCACCCAAAAGCATTGTGAAATCAGATGTGCGATTTCGTTGAGTTCTTTTTTTTTTTTGTAAATACAAGACAACATTACACTTCTTCAAGGTTAAGCATGCAGGTCAATTTTTAGATGTGCCTTTATTCCGCTTGTCATATTTGATGATGAAAGCCTGTGTTAAATTTATATCACACAAGTTGATAGCCTGATTTAACTATGTATCCTGGAGACCACCTTAACTCTGTACAACTAGCAGTATGTCACTCCTCATCAAAGCTGCAACCGCCAAATTATGTAGCTTGTACATAGCTATTTTCATTAAAACATGACTTACAACGAGCACTAGTGGTCTGAGACTAAGGGGCCGTTTACCAAACACTTACCCGGTAAGCGCTTACCGGTTTATGTAGTTATTGGTCAAAAAGCATCTTCTGTGGCTCAGGTAGTGACTAAGACAGAAAAGATTCGTGTATATATGTTACTGTAAAATTCAACACTCTCACTTACTTTACCAAGTAAGATTTTAGTCAACAAAAAGGGCATCATATGCAACAATTTACCCTGTAAGTGCTAACCATGGTAAGAGTCGTCACCCTCAATTAGACTCTTGGTCCTTGCCTTGCTCTTACCGGGTAAGATTCTTGGTACTTACCACATTCATTCTGTAAGGTAATGTGACTTGGTAAGCGTGTGGTTAAGATGTTAATAATAAAAACAGAGTTGATTGCATCTCTATCTGCACCCTCGGCAGAAGAAATCATTGAAATTTATTAATGTAACCGAAAGTAATAGAAGAACTGGTACTTGAAGTTATTTCGGAATCTAGTTTACTAAAGAATGTTGTTTAGTATAAAATATTAGTTTGTCTTATGCATCTCCTCAAGTTACTACTAGTCACAAGACATGCTAAAGCCTTAAAGGAGACAACATCATCGATTTTTATAAACAATTCCATGATGCTGCACATTTTCTCATTCATCCAGTATTATTTTAAGCTTAGAATTTTCCATGATTTTTATATAGAATTTCCCTCTTTTAACCTTCCATCCTATCCAATATTATTTTAAGCTCCTTGGCTAAATTAAAACGTAGTTTATATATTCCCTCTTATATATTTAGTCCATATTCTTATTCTGATCTTGAGCCTGTTTTAGTTTCAACATCCGGTTGCTCTGTTGCCAGTTGTTTGGTCTCATTTTCTTTCTTTGATTCTTCCTTTATAGTTTCTCTTTTTGCTTTCTTGGTTCCTACGCTCAAGATGGACACTTTTATCAGGTATCATATCATGGCACTATTCTGATCTTGAGCCTGTTCTACTTTCACCAATCGGTTGCTCTGTTCTTAGGGCTTTGGTCTCGTATATTGTTCGATTCTCCCTTCTTAATATTTTCGCTTGTACTTTCTTAGATGTGCTCTTCAAGTAAGAGTCACTCTCAAGATTAAATATCAAGACTTGGCTCATCACTRGCATAAAGATTTCAGCTATCCAAAAGTGTCAATTGTACTTTCTTAAGATATGAGAGCTCTTTCAGGCATATGCTCTTCAAGTAAGTAAGTGTCACTCTCAAGATAAAAATATCAAGACTTGGCTCATCACTAGCATAAAGATTTCAGCTATCCAAAAGTGTCAACTTAGATAACCAGATGGTCATTATCAGCAATCTAGCATCAAGGGTGTGTCTTCACTAGAAATTGGTATAATTCAAAAGTGAATAAAAAGTGAAAGGCATTCAACTCGCTCCAATTTGCAACCAGTTATACCTCTAGTCTCTAGATGACATCATATCACAGGTTTCTAGCAGAAGCATTGATGGTTAATGGTTTCTCAACAATTGTTTCTTGGCAAAAGTAAGTACAAGTTATGTAAAAAAGATAACAATAGATATACTCTCCAGTGGGTCATAGAAAACAAACCAGAATGTACTAACAATGGCACAAACAGTTAAAGAGTGCTAAATCTATATACTGCATATTTCCATATGTTAATCACAAGTCACGATGACATTCTCCTAATTTTCAAGATCCTTGCTTCTGCTAAGAATTGTTGGAATTCTTATACTAACTCTCACCATACGACATTCATTAAAATTGAGAGTTGAGACCAACTTTGATATCTCATCATCTAATTTGTCCACAGTTGTTAAAAGCGCGCCTGAGGTGCGCCTAGGCTCTGAGGCTCATAAAGCTCACAGTCTTGGGCTTTTTTAAAGTCAGAGACTCGGCGTATTCATGAGGTTCAGTAAGGCGCCTTGTGGGCCTAGGCGCACCTCATAAGAGTTGTTAAATAACTAGTCAAACCCTAATATTAATCAAGTTCTCTCGTCTTCTTATATGCTAGACATTTTTAAAAAGAGTTATTAAATAGATGATATAAGTCAAACCCTAATATTAAATACCCAATCCTTAGAACTTCAAGCCTCCTTCTCTATAATACCTAGACCTTAAAACTTCTCCCTCACGGCTCACGCTTTAAACCTTTCTCCCTTCTGCCTCTATCGAAGTACTGTTGGTTGTTGCATTGGAGGCTTTGCTGCATATTTGAGTTGTGTGCAACTGTGTGTGTATATTATATATACACACATTTTCTATAAGATGTGCCTCGCATTCTTGAGGCTCGTGCCCCACGCTTGCGTCTCGCGGCTAGGCCTTGGGACCATTTGCTCCTAAGTGCGCTTTGAGCCTTTAACAACTTTGACTTTGTCTAATGTTGACTTGTATGATGTATGTTTTTATTGTTGATATAATAATGATTATAATGAAAATAAAGAACGCAAGTATGAATGATCAAAGATCAACAAACGTGATCTAGGAGCATGCCCTGTTAATTGAGTTGACACTGCTCCAAAGCTATTTTCTTAACTTATCTCTGTACCGATTGGCAAAGAATTGCTCAAAAATATCTCTCTGATACTAGAATGTTCTTGTGTAAACTTTCCTTCATAGATTTGTATAATTTTCAAAAATAGTGAAACATCCTTTGGACTAAAAATATTTGTGGCATGAAGTTCACTGATGACCAAGACCTGATGGCATGCAGAAGGAAGGCCAAGGCATGGGATGCCAAGTCAATGCTTGGAAGGTGTGTTGAAAAATGCAAGTCTTGTCAAACAATAATCTATTCGTGGAATCAACTACTAAAAAGATACCCACTGGTTTCTACATTTGAGAAGGTAGTTCTTCAACATTTTGAGTAGCGGCTACTTTAATTCTCTAATCATGGCAATTGAAAAACTTTTTCTTTACGTATGACAGTCTACCGTTCCCTATGGGTTCTCATCATCTAGATTGGACCATTCTATAAGTGACATTATTATGTATTCATCAAGAAACCCCTTGTAAAATGCCCAGGTCAACCACACCAACTCCAGAAAACAGAGATACAGCCTTCATCATAACCAAGTGGATTGTATCTAATGGCATTCTAAAGTATAGAAATCTAGGCCCATAACAATGAATTCCCAAAAGAGCAACTACTTGCACAAATCGAATCAATCATATTAAACGACAGCGTTTTGGTAATTTATCGTGCTCAAGCACCCTGAAGTTAGGAACCGATTTTAAAAAATTAATAGAACAAAACGGGAAAACAACAAACAATACCTCTGTAAAAGATCCGGTTGATTAAGGAGACCAGATCCGATATAGATTGGATAACTCCGATCACCTAGATCCACATCGACTATGGTGGGAGCAACACCGGAACTCGATTTGCTGGTGTGGATCACCGGAGTCGCAGCCGAAGTAGCACAAACTTTCATTGGAACTTTAGCTGGACGTGACCAAGAAAGGGAAAGAGGACGTATTGGAATAGAGTTTTCAGATATAAACCCTAGAACGTTCTTACAGGGACGGTGGTGGTTGTTGGTGGAGACAGAAATGTTGTGTTTGGGAGAGAGTGTGGAATACGATGTCGTCGTCGCCGCCGCTGCCATGGAATAGTTCGATGGGGGTTGAGAAGTGGTTGGTGAGGATGAGGAATCTGTGAAGCCATGGAGTATTTGAAGAGGGGGTGGTAGGTGAAGGCAGGCTTTGCGACTGCGGGTCACCTCTCCATTCCCCTGTTTTTAACGGTCACATGTTTGGGTCAAAATGAAAAAAGCTACAATTGTTTCAATTTAATAATTATTTTATCTTTATCGATATTTATATATATATTACTCTTACAAACCAGATTTAATTACTCTTGCAAACCAGATTTATTAAAAGTCTTAAAAATAATTTTTAATACACAAATACTATACATTTATGTATATTGTCTTAAAATTCTTAAAAATAACTCATAACACATTAAGTACTACTATTTTATGCATTCAGTCATAAAATCTCTTAATCTACAATTAAAATAACATATAGTACAAGTTACCAATGCACGTTATTTTTTTTCTTTTCATGTTCACAAGATACTTTTGACACATTTCACTCATTTTTTCACTCTCTCATACCTCTATGTCTTCTCCTCATCCCCAAAGTGAGATTCAAACCGATATTCACCATGATTTATTAAAAATTCTTTCATTCATCTCTTATTCAATTGCTCTAGAACTCTCGGTCTCGCTCTCGATTTCTTGATTCTTTGCTCTTGGTGTAAATCGAACACATTTATAGAATCGTTTAAATATGTTGGATTTTAAATATATTAAATTTTAAATTGTCATACAATTATTTTCATCGATAGACTGTAATTGGAGTCATAACTCTTATTTATTCAAATTGTATTAATATGTAAAGACCAAGTGTAACTTATATCATCGTTAAATCTTCTCTAATAAAACCAGTGAAACTTCAAAATCGTTAAAATTCAAAGCTCACGCCGCATTGTACGGGTACACAACTAGTAAATATTAAATTTATCTGATATCAGTTGATTTTACGACATTGGTTGATTTTGATGTGTCATTTTTTAATATAATCAAGATTAAAAGTTAAAAGCATTTTCATCAATTGTGTTAAGAAAAATTTATAATAGAGCATGAAAACTTAAAATCTCTAAAAAAAATTGCATTTAACTACAACAGTTATTTTATTTTAGCAATTCTAATATTAACTACATTAATAAAATATTCAATACATTTAATAAATATTATTTCTCTCTCTTGTTACATTTAGTTTCAATAAGTTTAATTGGTTGGATATGATTAAAATAAGTTTAATTGGTTGGATATGATTAAAATAAGTTTAATTGGTTGCACTACGTTGTATAAATAATCGTAACACATATAGCACACAAGATATGTCTCGAGAGTCGCTATCATGTTGTCAATAACTGACTTAACTAGTTACGAAACGGAGATTAAGATCTCACTTATTGTATGACTCTTTCTCATTAAATGGTTCTTTCGCTGCATACCAGTATGTGGTACTAAGTCTGTCAATCAATTAACCTTAAACAAGCAATTGAATTATTTTGGAGGGTAAAACAGATTATTACACAGATTTAAACATTTATCACTTTACAAAACAAATAGTCTTGTTAATTCTGTTACAGACTCCAACACCAGGTATTATCAATCATAGATGAAATAAAACTACATACTTTAACACCTCTTAAAAACAAATAACATCTAAGGGGAGAAACACTAAAAAAATAGTTTAAAAAGGTTATTTATCTTATTCAAACAGTTTATCCAAGACAAAAAAAAAACAGTAAGCGTCAAATGGTCATTCAAATCATTCAAACACTTTATTCAACTAAAAAAACAATTTAGCTTTTTTTCTTTTTTTAATTAACCTGGATATCCAGCCCGTTATACGAGCCGACTAATCTCAGGATGACCACCTGCTTTACGGGTAGCCCGGAATCACCGCATTTGAACATCTGTAGCCACAAGGGGATTTTTAATCCTCCTTGGATTTGAACCTGAGACCTCCAGACACTTTGACCTTTGGAGCTCAAGCCTATTTCATACAAATGTGATGAAAAATCAACCAAAGAGCATATTGATGGCTTGTATATATCCATTAAGCCAAGAAAGTTCCCTCTCCTATATTCATACAACCCCCCTAAATTCGAGTCCTACCATAATGATGATGAAACCAATGGTTTTTCTGACACTATTGTTGTCATATGTCAACTCTTTTCGAATTTATGTCATCACTGCGGATTACTTGTTTAGCGACAACACAAAGATGTTCAATCTCTACCTATCTCATGCTAGGTTTTTATTTTTATTTTTTCAAATAACAATATTTTATTTGTATGTCCTCTTTTATGTACAAATTTGGTGTAAAGAGGTGTTATTATACTTGTTTCAAACCCTATTTGTTGATTAGCTGTAGATTATCCAGTTGTGTAACACTCAAGATATTATGTCGTGGGATTTTAGAGTTTTAGTTTGTCGTCATTAGAGAAGGAAAAAAAATCCTTCTGGAGATTTGAAGATCAGGCGAAAGATGAAGGATAAACTGGCATACGAATCGATTAAGGCTTTTTGGGTTTTACGTTGATTAAGGTGTGTTTTCCTTTCGTTTCCAAAATTGAAAGTCCCTTTATATGTTTATTTATGTGGATAAGTTCAGAATGAGTATGGAATTGGGTGTTGGCTGGAGGGCTGTCAATTTGTCATGGACGCCATTTTACATCGAGTTTGGTTAAAAATCAAGTGTTCAAACTAGAAATTGGAACTCATTAGTAAACCATTTTAAGTTATTATTATTTGTTAGATGAGGGTAGTGGTGCTATCATGCCAAAAGAATCGTTTCGAACAAGAGCGAAAAACGAGCCCAATCGGAGGACAATCATGGTTGTCAAGTCAGGTGGTTTGACAGACAAAATTGGGGCGGGATTCACCCACACTTGGGCACGAACTCTTAGATTGTTGGATATGATGCATTTGACTTAGTTGTTGGGTTCCTCATTAAGGCAGTGTTTGGTACATGGGACAGGACAGGACAAAACTTACTATCCCACGTTTGACAGGACATGGGACGGGACAAGAACTCACTATCCTACGTTTGGCACGACATGGGGCAGGACAAAAACTCATTGTCCCATGTTTGGCGCAACAAGGGACAGGGACAAGAACTAGGACAATGTTGGACAGTGTGAGACAAAAAAGATTTTTTTGTTCCACCAAAATAGATGGGACAAGAATGAGACAGTGCTAGTCACGACCCCGCCACCACCGACGGCCATCGCTAGCCACCATTGGCCATTTTCACCTTTTCTTCCACTACAACAACCTCCTCTATCACCTCCACAACCACCGAACACCACCACTACCACTGTTGGCCACCTCCACCTCATCCTCTACTACACCAACCTTCTCCACAACCACCATCACTGATCACCTATGTCCATCACCACCATCACTACCACCGTTGGCCACCACCATGTCATCCTCTACTATAACAACCTCCTCCACCACCTCCACAACCACCGTCTGTCACCGACCACCACTACCACCGTTGGCTACCTCCACCTCATTCTCTACAACAACAACAACCACCGTGGGCCACCTTACCTCCACCATTACCACCACCACCATCGGCTACCACGATCACTACCCACCATCACCATTACCTCTACTCCATCGGCCACAACTACCTCCTCCACCATCGTCGACTGCCACCACCACCACTATCCACCATCTTCATGTCCTCCACAACCACCCTAGTCCACCACCACCACCGCCCATTGCCACCACCACTAGTACCGTTGATCATTACCACCTTCGGCTACTACTACCATTATATGTGTTTATGCATATGAAAATTGTGTAAAAATGTTCATAAATTAAATTATTTAATTAATCATTTATTTTATTTGTGTTAATTATAACTATTATATGATATATAAATTTATTAGATTACCTTTAGGGGCAACTTGTTTAGTTATGTCATATCCGGTCCTAGTTGTACCAAATACCAAACAGACACTTGTTGTTTATGCCAAAAATCACACCGAGTAAAATTTGTGTCACAAACTCCAAAAATTGTGCTAAAAAGACAACTTAAGGTTTCGAATGTGGAACTTTTAACAATTATAGATCAATCAACTTCAAAATCAACACTGATTGGAAATAAAAAAATAAAGATGGTGAACTTAAGGAAATTGGTGACACAAAAAAATCCTTAAACAAGCAAAACTGAAGATCAACATGATTCAAAATGTCATCAAATTCATGTTTCGATGTGAAGAACAGGAAGATAGAAATAAAACGATGATCGAACAAACCTTTTTTTATCCTAATGTTCCTCAACCTATTTTTTATCTTTACATGATTTAACCCCCATAATATATATCTATATATATATATATATATATATATATATAGACTTGGGATCATGTGAGACTAATAGCTTTTCGTGAGACTCGTAAGACCAATTCTCAACCCATGAATTAGATCTACAATCTAAACATTCATAATCACAAAATTGTCACTGTGCAACTTTAAACCATTAGATCGTTAGCTTATAAAGTTGATCAATGAACATAAATTGATCTTACGGGTCTCACATGAACCCAACCCTATATATATATATATATATATATATATCTCTATAGGGGTGGGTTCAAATAAAAACCACTCAATTTGTAAAAACCGTGAAAACCTCATTCAACCAATCATAAATTTTTATTTTGTTTATTTTTTTGTAATTATGAGAGGTTGATTAACCATTTTTATTGTGGAGGGTGTTAATCATGGATATTATTATCTTCATTATTTTAATTTTAGAGAAATACATGAAACAGTTTCATTAAAATTTCATTAAGTAGTATATGAAACAATTTCATAACCACATATGAAACAAC